CGGAGCTGCTACAGAGAAGGCCCTCCCCCGGGCAGTAGCCAGATGGCATTGGCTGGTGGACCGAACCTGGAGGAGGCCAACTCTGTGAGATCTAACGGGTCTTTGGGAGTTAATTGGCAGCAGGCGGTCTCTCAAGTGACAGTCGCTCTTTAAAAATAATGATTTCAATCAAGTTGATTTAAATCAAACTTTTTTACTAGTTTACTAGGCTTGATTTAAATCAAATCCACCCTGAAGTGGCACCCATGACTGCATATTGTTATGGAAAAGAACAATAATACATTAAACATGTATGCTGCATGACTCTGGGTGGTTCACAGTTTAATTACAATAAAACCAATAAAAAGTGATAGATGACAATCATAAGGAAGTGTTGGATTCCCTGGGCAAAGGCCCAGATGAAAAAGAAATTGGACTGTAAACGGCTTGTAACTTATAGCCCCAAAATATTTAAGGGAATAGAATATTTTGTTGAATCCTGCACCTTTGTAGGACACAAGACTTTTCTTGGTTCAATTCTTCTTTTCACAAATAACCCATTGTGAATCTGATTAACTAAAGGGCTGTTCTGAGGAACAGAAGACGGCAAGTGGAAGTTACTCTACCTTCACCCGTATGTGTTCAAAATCTCCTTGTCCAACTTCCCAGTTTTTGATCTTGAGGGAGAGGGGGATGTTTTCCTCCTGTTGTATTAAATACAGAAAGTTGTCCTGTGCAGTAGCGAGAGACATTTGGGCTGTTGAGATCCGGACTCCGGTCTGGATCTCAACAGCTCAATAAACTTTCAGCCTGCCACAAAGTGGGTCAAAGCACCTGAAGGCAGGACAAGAAACAACAGATGGAAACTAATCAAGGAGGGAAGAAACCTGGAATTAAGGAGAAACTTCCTAACAGTGAGGACAATTAACCAGTGGAACAGAAGTTTCCTCCAGAAGTTGTGGGTGCTCCATCACTGGAAGCTTTCAAGAAGAGCCTGGACAGCCACCTGTCTGAAAAGATATAGTGTCTCCTGCTTGATCAGGGAGTTGGCTTAGAAGACCTCAAAGGCCTCTACAGCTCTGTTCTGATTGATTGATCCATGGAGGTCTCCACTCTGAAATGCAATTCATTGGGGTGTACTTGGATAAGACCTCCACATTTATTTCGCTAGGTTTCTAGAATAAAAAAAGTGAAAAAAGAAGAACCGCGTATATTCCTGGTCCTGAAGATGGGGCACAGCAGAGGTATAATGAGAATTATTTTTGAGTTGACACAAAATTCAGGTAGACCCCCTTGCCCCTGTTTCCTTAGAACACTTGAAACGGCCACGTTGGATTCTGAATTTTGCAAGTTGAAATTGAACTCCTTTGAGGGCTAGGTAGGTGGTGGAAATGCTGCTGCAGCTGGTATCATCTGTTTGGAGACTGTACCAGAAGGCCTCGCTCCTGCGGTCTTGGCCGAGAGGAGTGGCTCGATTGGGACGGGGCAAGGCATACGGTTCACTTGGGCCTGAAAGGATTGGGGGCGGGTTTTCTCCCAGGCGCAGGGTCTGTGTGGGGTGTGTGTGTGTGGAGGTGGTGGTCCCTGGTGCTTGACCTGCTTGGAAAAGCCATCCTCATTTTAACCCTGCCTGAGATGGTCCTGAATTGCTTGTGGGAAGGGAAGGGAATTCTTCCTTTGCCCAAGTGGGATTGTCTCCCGTGCAGAAGCTCTTTGTGTACATGCAAAGCAACAGAATAATGGCAATCATAACACATGATTATGAGCCCAAAATTTCGGTTGTTAAGTGAGACATTTGTTAAGCGAGTTTTGTCCCAGCATACGGCCTTTCCTGTCGTAGTTGTTAAGTTGAATCACTTCAGCTGACAAGTTGTTAAGTGAATTCAGCTTCCCCATTGACTTTGTCAGAAGATTGCAAAAGGGGAACATGTGACCCTGGGACATAACGACAGTCATAAGCACGAGTTAGTTGCCAAGCATCCCATTTATGATGACGTGACCATGGGGATGACGCAAAAGTCGTAACTGTGAAAAACAGTCATAAATCACTTTTTTCAGTGTCGCTGTAACTTTGAACTGTCACTAAACAAACTGCTGTAAGTCGATGACTACCTGTAGTAATCATACAATAAGAGGGATGGAGTAAGAAAGAGGATAACAACAACAGGTCAAGATCCGGTGGGATCTCTGGATACGCCTGGTGTCATTATTGGGGAGAGGAAAAAAGTCTGGTTCATTGATTATTGCAATACCAGGGGATGCACAAATTGGAGAGAAAAACTAAGAAAAAGAACAAAATATCAAGATTAGCAAATTGAAGTTGAGCAACTGTGGAGGAAGAAACCAAGGGTTGTACCATACAGGAGCCCTTTGAGTGATACCTGCAGGGCTGCCCAGGTACAGGGAAGTTTTGAACTTATCAGACCTGAATATCCTGACTTTGAAAAAAAAAACCACCTTACTCAGAACTGCCAATATACTCAGACGTTATCTTAAGAGCTCTTTTAGCTCCTTGGCTAACAGTTAAGTTTTTACCAGTCCCAGACTGTGAATTGAATTGAAGATTAAATCATTGTCATCATCACGATCATAACAACAACAATTATACAGCCATGCTACTAAAGTGGTCTTAACACCACACGGATGCAGAAATAATAGCTTCTTTTACAAAATAGACATTTCTAGCCGTTTTGCAATAATTCCAATTTGCATCTCTTTCCTTCCTGAATTGCTTCTTTGCTGCTCTTCCTTTCTGAGGAGTTGCTGGGCAGTTTTCAATCTTTTTCCCTCCTCCTCCACAGCCGTGCAAGGCGGACGTGCAAGGCTGTGCTCCAGCTGTGGCGGTGTGGCCACGTGGGTTTTGGGAGGCGAGGCCAAAGCAGGGCCGGGCCTGAAATGTGCCCTGGCAAGCAGGTTTTAAAGCAGGCTGGGCTGCTGATAGTGATCTGGTGTGCTGCAGAAGGCGGCTGACCGACAGCTCTCCGTCAGCTGGAACTTTCTCTCCTCTGGAACAGAAATTGTGGTATGCAGGAATCGGGGGGGGG